TGTGTGTATACTCTATGTATGTATACTGCATGTATACTGTATGTATGTATACTGCATGTGTGTATACTGTATGTATGTATACTGCATGTATACTGCTGTATACTGCATGTGTGTACACTGCATTTGTGTATACTGTATGTATGTATACTGCATGTATACTGCATGTGTGTATACTGCATGTGTGTAAACTGCATTTTTGTATACTGTATGCATGTATACTGGATGTGTGTATACTGTATGTATACTGCATGTATGTATACTGCATGTGTGTATACTGTATGTATGTATACTGCATGTGTGTATACTGCATGTATGTATACTGTATGTATGTATATTGCACCACTATACAGACATGTACGCTTTCAAACATACTGTCACCTCAGTACTTATACTATACTGACAGTATGTAAAGGAGTTGTGGGTGGTGGTGCCACCTGGCAGTGATGGATAGAATTTGAATGTTGGGGCTTATGGACACTTGGATGACACCACAAAAGCAGTGTGGGTTTTCTGTAGTTTTCATATGTTTGAAAAACATTTGTGCACTCTAACACTCCACCCACCCCTCCATCGGCATAGTGGTCAGTAGATAATGGGTGCATTTTCATTTTTGGGTGAACATTCCTAGTTTACTGTTATTTTGAATATATTTCAAAATGGCTCTTTGTTCAAGCACATTGTGTTCTTCAAAAACAACTTAGAAAATAAAAACTCTTGAATTGTAACATCTATTGTTAGTAAGTGACCATTGACAGGACATGGGCACTTTAGGGGCCAATCATATTTCAGCTTTGGCCAGTATCCCCTGACCCCGCCTTTGGGTTCACCCCGGCCACACATGTGCAAAAGTGAAACAAATATCGCAGGTCAAGCTCAAGTTCACCTCGGTTGAACTCCATAGCCATGCTGCAATTTGCGTCGCCACAGGAAGCAAATGTTTTATGCGCCCCCTCGCTCGCACAGACGAGGGGTGGTGCAGCAGGCAGGATGTAACTTACTAATTCTGCTTCTAGTATCTAGTAAGGATCTCCTGCTGTGTTCTCACAATGACTTCTGCAGGCTTTTTGCAGACTTTATAGAGAAAATCTTCAGAAACTCTGTAAACTCTGTAGGTTCAGCATCTTGCCAGACTAGGAAAGATTGGGGTGGACTACTGACGTGGGATAGACCTCTGAGCCACAGCTGCCGCGGAACAGTTGTCATGAACATCACCCAATTGCCTGAATGAGCCAGCATTCACAATATCAGGACCTTGGTTCTACTGTAGATCACTTTAATGGAAGGCAGCCATTTTGTATTTGCATTTATTACCTCCACCAAGTAGGCCATGTTTTGGGCCTCTATGTTTGGGCCTCATGTTTTTTTGTTGGTTGGTTTGTATGCAAGATCATGCAAAAACTACATTTGGCATTACCGTGAAACTTGGTGGATGGATGCAGTATTGGTCAGGAAAGAACTTTGTGTGGATCCTGATCAGTGAGTATTTCTTTTCATTTACTTTAGCACTGTGAGATTGGGCATACAGGGCTTCAAACTCTATCATATTTAAACTTTGACCATTGCTCAAAGACCGAGGTAAATACTTATTAACTAATTTAAGCAAGCTTTCAAAGATTGTTTTAATCCTGCAGTGTTGCAACACACATCAAAAGAAACTGAGAACAGTGTTGAAATGTCCACAGGTGCAGCTCTCCACCCTCCCTCCAGAACCTGTCATCCCCTCTAAGAAGCCTTTCAAAGTGGAGCTGGCTGGTGGAAAGCGTTACTCATGGTGCACCTGTGGGCACAGTAGGAAACAGGTACACTGTCTTAAATGCTGTCTGATACACTCACAAGTTAAAAAACATTCTATGTTTTGTTTGATTACACCTTTACATTCCAGCCTTTCTGTGATGGAGCCCACAAGCTGAAAGCCCCAGGACTGTTCCCGCTACGTTTTGTCCCAGAGAAGGACACCTCTGTGTGGTTGTGCGGATGCAAATACACCAACAACCCACCGTACTGCGATGGAACGCACAAGCAGGACTTCATTGCATCTGCAACACTACACGAGCAAACTGACTCGTAAACCACTGCCAAAGGATTTTGGTTGCGGGGCGAAACCTCATCCTGGTCAAGGAGCATTAACTTTAAACAATTTTTGCAGATCAGTGTTGTCCAGGGACGCAGCTCACATGACGTGATCTGCCATGTTCGGTGTCTGAATATTGTCAGTAATTCATGCACGTGACATGTGATGTATTCTGGGAAAGATATGATCAAATGGAGGGAACGGTGTTACTGAAGAAAAGTGTCAGCTAAACATTGAAATATGTGAATGCACTGAAAAAACACTGAGCTACCAGTAAATAAGTAACTACTGTATCAACCAATAAATACTACGTTTTTCTAATCGTCAGATTTTACCGACGCTGTTAGATGGAGGTTGATTCCACCCTTGTACTCTGTTTGAGTTGTTTAAAAGATGAATACACGTCATGTTAATATCAGGATTTAAAGAATTCACTGTATCTTGTTACATTTCATGTTTCTTCATGTTTGCTGTCAGCTGCTGTGACACCTGTTGTCTTGATCATTTCACACACACGAGTCCCCAAAGACTCAGTAAGTGATCAGAGCTGCACAGAGCCTCCAATGAAAATGTGATATTATATAGTTGTGTTACTATGTGGACTTGGAACCTGGGGAGAAGTGACTCCTACTGTCCTACTCTGTCATGTATCAGAGCATAGGAATGAGACTATGACATTTCAGACTTTCTTCCCTAGATATACTGAATATATAAATGTAAAAGTAAAATGGAACTTGTTTAACTTGCATGTTGTGTTCTAATCTGTAAAAAAGCTGCTTACTCAGTTTTTGTACAGTACACAAGCTACTGAGTTAATCAGGGAATCAAACAGGACAGTCGGCTCAGAAAAACCTAGTAAGTAAACATTTTATTGACCTAAAACATGCACATATGGCTGATAAAAAAAGTATCAGTTTGTTGAAAAGAAACAAAGGGAATGTTGAAAACGATGGAACTACGACAGACATGGCCAAATATTCAAATCCCTTTTGAGTTCTTCGAGTGCCATGAGAGAGGGAACATGGTCTTCTGACAGACATTATCAGCTTGTGATGGTAGTGCTTGGAACTGTGTACATATAAATGCTTCTCCTGCTGGAAAATACTGGTTTGGATTGTGTGATCTGACCTTAACAAAGTGCATTGACAGTTTTACGTCACGGGTGTGTTACCTGATGAGCTTTTACTGGACATTTATACAGCAGTTATCAACATGTCTGTTCAAAGGCAAGGATCAGCTTCTTTTTTACTTTACATCCATCTGGAGCAGTGACGTGCACTTTGACGCCTTCCGGCATTTTGTCGCACGTTTTTTATGGAAGCCAAACCAAAGTTGAAAGAACATTGGAAATGAATCAGACCCACAGCATATACAATACAAAACGATTACAATATCTTGTATAAAAGATAAGTTTATACATATGTATGCACACATGCTCACATTTGATACATACTGTACAGTTTGTATGTGTGCACTGTTCTAGTCTAACACACATAAACACACACGCACACACACACGCACATACATACAAGTGTCTATTTGGCTGCACTCTCAGTCTTTGCTGTTGAAAGGTGATAACAGTAATCTGGCCCCCATTTGTCCAGAAGGAGAACTCAAGCTCCTTCTTTTGCTCTGAAGAAAAAAAGAAGGGAGCAATTCAAACACTGTCCTCCCCGATGCCCCGTACACACGTTAGGTAGCCGGGGGCAAACCGCTTTTGTCCCCTCCCCTCGCCTCCTCTTTTCCAGATCCGGAGCTTGTGCCATTGACAGTCACCTTGCGAGCGCTGGCGCCCTGTTTGGATGCGAGAGTGTGTCGTTGAGTGTTGTTGGGCACAGAGGTACCGTTGGAGCTTTGGATGGCAGGAGAGGGGTTGTGGGAGGTGGGGCTGGACTGCGAGGAGGCTCGGGGGGGCGGGGCTGCAGCGGGACTGTGAACCTTGTCACTCTGGGAGTCGCTCTCAGACGTCGGACTTGTGTTGACGCCGTCAGAGTGTCCCTGAGCGGCAGACTGGGACGGCCTCCTGCGCTTCCGGTTGGGTTTGACCAGATACTGCAAGGGGATGGGTCCAGTCTGCAGAGGAACACAGACCATCAATACCACTGACATCACCTCAGATTTTATGATCAGAAAAAAATGCACAGTTGATTACTTTAAATCTATTGTTAAATACTAAAGCTGGTAACAACTTACTGACTATGAATATATTGCTTGATCCATTTAACAAGTTATGTCTGTTATGCCATACAGCTGCATTATTCCAAACTATTACAAATGTATCGATGAGCCGTACTGTTGCACTGGGTGACAACATGCTCCTTCACACAATAAACACACAGTTACACACTTTGTTTGACACACTGTCACTCACACCATCCTGCTGCAAGAAACACGAGCATCCACTACAGCGCCCTGCTGTTAGGCCTTAAGTTGTTTATCACATCTACATGTAAATACCAGCCAGTAAAAGCTGGAATTCTGTCTTCAACCCAAATGTCTGTATTTAACTAAGTGAGTTGGCCTTGCCTTTCCAATTCTTACATGGTAAGGTAGATTTTTTTTTACATGTATGTAATAGCCGACAACTATTGTCCATGTAAAGCTAGAAGAGCAATGGTGTGTGTGTGTATTGGTAGAGCCGTTACATATGTGCTTTTTTGTTAATGCATGTGCATGTTTTTATAGGTAAAATGGTAAATAGGCTGTTTTAAATATAGAGCTTCTCTAGTCTTGATCACTCAAAGCTCTTTACAGTTCAGTTTAGCCATTCTCCCCTTCACACACACATTTATACAGAGCATCTTTATTGCCCAAGGACACTTCGGCATGCAGTATGGGGGACACGGGTATTGAACAATCAGGAGACAGGAAGACAGGATCACACCAATGACACTCTGGTTAAAGGATGACCCGCTCTACCTCCTGAGCCACAGCCGACCCACAGCGACCATCCAAAATTTCATCCACTGAACGAACAATGTTCCTGGGCTAAAAAGGCAGCGGGACAACAAAGGACAAATAAAACCACCAACATCTGGCTATTGTCCTCAGTGTGAAAAGGTGCTATCATCTTTATTCCTGAGTTTAATGGCATTGCAGTTGTCTGCCACCTCGGCACAATTAAACCAAAACACTGCAGTAATGCAGTTCCACCTTTTACACACAGAATGCAAGGACTGTCTTCTAGCTGCCATGCAGATCTGCTGCAAAGTGAGCACAGCCCTGAAATCAGATGCTGACAGGAGCACCAACCTGCGAATGAGATATGACCGATCGTTTCACCAATAAGCAGAGCAGCTAACTGGACTGTTTTCTGTCAGTTCTCCTGTCCTCAGGGAAACTTTACTGACTTATTCTTCTGGCTGTGTGTTTAGGAGCTGTTTTCACTGGGCAAACATGTAGCTGAGGGGACAGATGTGGCAGGCGAGGGTTTGTTTTGGGCCAAAATTGCTGGTGTTAGGGCAACATCTAGAGGTAATAAATACTGTGTACATAACTTGAAATCTTTTTCACTGCCACTAAAGCAATAATGTGAATTACACACATGTAACTAGAATATGAAACTAGAAATAAAAAAAAAACAGAAAACAACAACAACACTCAGTCTTGTTTGGAATCTGGATTACTCTGATACACTGAGCATCACAAACAATATATGTTCCCCGTCTCCCTCATTCTGCGTTTCAAAGTGTCCTTGGGCAAGACACTGAAACCCAAGTTAGCCCGGACAGCTGTGCCGCTAGTGTGTGAGTGATGTGTGATGGAGAAAGTGCTGTGCATAGACACACTGTATAAATGTGTGTGTGTGTGTGTGTGTGTGTGTGTGTGTGCACGTGCGCGTGTGTGTGTGTATGTGTGCACGTGTGTGTGTGTGTGTGTGTGTGTGTGTGTGTGTGTGTGTGTGTGTGAGAGAGAGAATGGCAAAACTGTACTGTAAAGTGCTTTGGGTGGCCATCAAGACTAAACAACACTATATAAATACAGACAATTTACCAAATACAAACATGATGTGTAGCTTCTGTATGATAGTCCCAGAACTTGACAGAAAGGTTACACGATCACTATATCCACTTCCCACTGTAATTGTAAGTTGCTCATTTCTTACACCAAAAAAGTTGCAGTTTTGAGTTTTCCAGTGCAGCGGATGTTATTTCTTCAGTTTCCACACGACTTGAAGTCCAAACATGTATCCATGCATGTGTTAATGGGAATGGGTCACATGAACAAACAGCATTGCCGGGTGCTGAACGTAATAAATCTAAAACATGCTCAAGAAAGTTGTCCGAAATCTAAAAGCTGTCACTCACCCGTCTCCACTCATAGAAGTAGGCAATATCCATGAGTGTGTAGTAGTCCTTCAAAGGCTCGTCCCCGTACAACACCTCCACCTGTAACAGTCGAGTCACACCATTCAAAAGCAAGGTTACGAGAAGAAAACAGCAGCTGCAGCTCATCACTTTACTATTTAAGTCAGTGAGACAAGCTTTAACCAGATGAGTATTTCTAAACTGATATGTTGTAGCACTATTCACTGTCAACTCATCCCACTAATTACTGCTTACGACTTGTATAAACAAAATTTAACACCAAATTAAATTAAAAAACGTTTCCTTTCATCAGACCAACTTAAATCTCTTGAGGTCCCAGCATCGTCCGTGTGTCAGACAGTAACTGGCTGATATTCCAGCTGTGCTTCAATAATGAAAAGCTAAAACATGACACTGATGCTTTGTTTCCTCAACTGAAGCTCATTACTACTGCTGGACTGTAAACAGAGTCAATCCTCATTTGAGCACAACACTAACTCAGTCTATTCTGTGAGGTTTTGATTTGAAAGCATTATAGAAAAGGGGGAAAACACAAAGTGCTGCACTGGGAGACAAACTGGAGCCAGTTCTTTTTGTCAAGATAAATATTCCTCACATCAACATCAAGCTTTCTCGACAAACTTATCTTTCCCATTTTAACCATCATCCCTCATGCCGTCTATTATAAACCACATGTTGGACAGAGAGAAAACCAATTCAGGTCAAGGTTATTGTGATTCCCCCTAATATGAAATCTACTCACAAGTGCAGTTACACTTCCACAACACAGTGTATGTTCTTTTTGGTTTGTACTGTGTGATTTTGATTGAAATTTTCAGTTCAAACAAATACACTTACATGATTTTAGTTTTTTAAATAAAACCCTCAAACATGAAAATGACTAAATGCTGAACTCAACAAGGACAACATAGCAACTCATCATTTTAACAACATGAAGATTATTAAAGGTACACTGTGTAGACTTTTGTGATATCTAGTGTTGAAGTTGCACGTTGCAGCTGAACACCCCTCACCTCACCCTCTCCTTCCAAACATGAGAAAGAAACTGTGGTAGCTTCAGTTGTCATAAAAASTCAAAAGGTGTTTAGTTTGTCCAGTCTGGACTAATGTAAAAAACATGGTGGCCTCCGTAGAGAGGACCTCCGTAGTGAAGCACCTTCCCTCAGTGTGAGCACATATTGTAAGATTTGAACCTCAAACCTGAAGCAGTGTTTGTGGGTGTGATTAAGTTACTTTGGAGTTAAAAGTCCCTCCCATGTATTTTTTATTACTGTGTCAGACCCCTGTAGTTTTCTACAGAGTCAACATGGCAAGAGTTGCTGTGTATGGATGCACTGTGTCTAATTACCCGATAGTTGTTGGGAATGTCCATCTTGCTCCGCAGGAACTTTGCTAAGTGCATGACGGACATGGCTGCCGGGCACTGCAGGAAGCGTTTACCATTGGACTGAGAACAAAGAGAAGAGTAGAGCGGGGATGTATTAATCCAGGGCGACGACCAGAGGAACCACAACACACATTTGGTGGCTTAAACTACTGCTTCACCCAACAGCATCTCAGAAATGAGGTTTTACCTTGTCTCCCTCCATCTCTGCACGCTGCATCTCATTGTTTCTGCAGGAAAACAATAAATACAGAACATTATTTACGGTTCTTTCCACTCAAACAGATTATCAGGTTTAGTGAGACGTACAGCAGGATTGACTGAAACCCTTTTGTTAAATATGCCTTTCACACAGGAAGAACGCAGCAGGAGATTCTCCGCTCACAACACTGAGATATCTCCGGAGCATTAATGTGAGGGGTGCATGCTGGACAAAATCAGCCATGGAGATCACGTGTTTATTGTTTACAGCAGATTGACATCGGCCCGTATCAGCAGAAGCTCCTGATTCTTATCAGTGCAAGTTGACATCTTCTTTGGTGTCTTCTACATGTGTGTAACATTTATTTCACCATGAAAGATTTGTGGGGGGGGTTTTGTTTTGTGTCTGTCACATAGAAACATCAACAACATGCCCACTTGCTGGAGGTGAATGGAGGAGGATCTCCTGCTGCATTTGTTTTTATGATGGGGCTGGCAGGAGAATCTGTCCACAAGCAGACATTTGTGTTCTCACATACAAGCCCCACCAGATCATTTCAGGAGATTATCCAGGGTTCAGAACATGTCTGAAAGCAGTTATACAGAGTTTACACAGGTCTTATTCCAGTGACATATTTCTTCAACTTTACTGTGAACAGATCCAGACTTTATTTATGTAAAAATGAGAACTGAGCGACTCACTTGTTCCTCTCGTAGAACTGTATGGACAGACTGATGATTTCATCCTCCGCTATGTTAAACGTCTCCACCACTTCCCCTGGTTCCAGCACACGGTTCTCTGCGTAGAAGTCTCGCCTCCGTTTCATCTCATCTGGTTTCAGAGGGAAAAAATGCGTTGTTACATAGACAGCGACAACCACTATAGACTAAGAGTTTTCCCAAAAAATAATGTGTTGACTAACATCCTCATAAACATGGTCTTACCTTTGAATAACCCCGGAACAAGCTTATATACAATATCTTGAAGAGTTTTGTCCGCTCTTGGAGAAATAAGAAAGTTTCACGATATTAGACATGATACACATTGCAATCAGTGATGTGTGTGTGTGTGTGTTTTTAAAAGAACCCCTGTGTAACACATCAATAGTTACCTGATGCTGAGCTGTGGACACGTCTTGTGGACCTGGACGTCACATCGAGGACAGAACTTATTTGTCTCCAAGAAGGCAACGATGCATGTTTTACAAACTACACAGAGAGAGAGGACACGGATGCTTGAACCCTGATCTGTATCATCACCAGTTATGATAAGTAGAACATGGAGAGGACTCGGTGTTATAAACACTTGCAATTCAATGTAGTATATGAACACATTGTAGATTTGACTGTTTGAACTATTGACAGAAACCCTTCAAATATAACCCAATCAATTCACCACCTGCCTCCACAGTTACAACCAAGTTATATCAACACCTAAGATGCAGCATCAACAAAAACATGAATGTTAGTTGTCATGCATTACACTATTATTATGCACACACATGTCCCCTTTCTGTAGGCCTGGCTTTAAATTAACATTAATGGTGGGTGACATATGAGACTCAACATCCCACAATGTGCAGGAGGCTCTGCTCACCCTGCACAACACTGTGGGCTCTGTGCTCAATCCTCACTGGGGTTATAGTGGAAAAAGCTGTGTGCATGCATGTAATGCAGTGCAATGCTTCAATGAGTGGAACTTACAGGAGTGCAGACACTCTACGATGGTTGTAGCATCGATCAAGTAACCAGCGCACAGTGGACATGTGAGGTGTGGGTTCACATCTGTGATTTTAACCCGGTTGGGCTGCATTTTATCCATCAGGGCAGATCTGCAGGGGAAGCACACGACAACATGAGAGCTGCTGGCTGCACAGTAGAACACAGTGCAAGATGTTTGTTGGGACTAGGAGTTCTCTCCCGTGTGGTGAATGAGTGGCTGCCCTCAGACAATGTCTGCAGCTCGTCCTTGGGACAGCAGCAACAAAGAGAGGGAGCTGCTGCAACAAGAAAACTCCTCTGCTGACATGTTGCAGCGATAAATAACGTGGAGACAGCAGCAGCCGAGCGGCTACATGCAGTCTGGGAGGAGGTGGTGCACAACAGCCGACTACTGAATCACCCTGTGTGGCCTCATCTTGTGCATCAGCTCCGCTCCTCGAGCAGCGGGGCAACAAAGAGCGTTTCATTTCCCCGGAGCTCCGGCGGCCCACCGAGCCCCGAGACCGAGCGCACCGTGCGAACAGCAGCACCGAGGGGGTGCAGAGCCACGGGAAAATCACAGTGGTACACAAAGCAGCCATCTTAAATTCACTGACAGGGCTCTGTATGAGGAGGCGAACAAGAGACCGAAAATGTGACACCGTCCACTGTGCGTGCGCCTCAGCGAACAGCGGCGCGGTGAGCCCGACAAAGAGCCGCCGCCGAGGCGTCGTTCCTACCTGATCCGACATGAAGCTCCGCTCTGCTCCCACTCACGATCCGGATCAATTATCTGGACTTGGGCAGAATTTGCAGCAGCGCCAGAAAATGGCTTTTTTCAGCCCCGTCAGAGGACTGCCCATTTTGGATCACGTGATATTATTTTGTCGCCTCGTTCACGGGGCATGAGGGGGATCCTCTGCAGGCCCCGCTCCCTGTCTGCAGCTTCATGCGTCTGCACCCTCACACCACCACCACCCTCGCCTGTGCCTGCTTCGTGTTGCTTTGATTCGTTTCTGTCTGGAGCTACGCTGCTCCTCTGCTTGTCTGAGTCTGACTCACAGGGAGTTACAGGGCATCACACAGAGGGAGGAGAGGAGAGGAGAGGAGAGGCCCTGCAGGCCTCAGGTCTGAGGACTGATCCAATAACTGCACAACTATGAGTCCTGTTACTTTTTGATCTAAAATCTTAGCTATATCACTAAAAATGATTGGTATATATATGATAAATAAAACTATAAATCCAGTGATAGTTCTGTAGTTGCTAGAAGATGAAAAAATAATTTTAATGCACAGAGAAAGGGCTGAAAATGCTATTGAGGTCACTGACGTCATGTTCTGTGTATTTGGGTTTCTTCTTTGAATTCTACAATTTTAAAAAAAATTCACCGTTTTTTTTTATAAACATCAGACACACTTTAGTGTTTTGAGACCACATATTTCAAGAAAAGAAATTATTTCCACTCTGTAATCATGTCCCTGGTGGTGTCCTCACACAGCACTTACTTTCAGAGGATAAATAAATAAAGTACAAACATTCTACCACTTAAACCATTGGAAGAGTTGTGTTCTGGCCAGGGGTATTAAAATGTTTAGGTTTTTAAATTAAAAATGTGAAATATATCACTAACATTGATTAGAACCCAGTGAAAGTTATAGGTTTATAAAAAGATGAAAAATAATTTTAATGGTAAGAGAAACATTTAGTTAAGAAGAATGGTTATGAATGTCTGATCAAATACATGATTATGTAAATGAATCTCAGTATGATATAGAGTAAAGAGTAACATAAAGTGAACTGAGTTTTAGTTATTCTCAAGACAATCCGTTAAAAGAAATACAAGTTCACATTATTGTGATCATGTATCATGTAGGTGTTAGAACCGTTTTATGAGTGAGATAAGAAATCTCCTCCTCCAGGTCTCTGCTAATCACAAACACAGCTCAGATTTACAGCAACAATAAAATATGACTACAGTCAAGTGTTTTTAGTGTAAGTGTAGGCTAAATGAAAAACACTGACCATACAGTAAAACCAGTTCTCTTATGTACAAGGTGGATATCATCAAAACTTTCATCCCAAACCCCGAGAGACACAGACTATAATCATTTCTCCATTTGTGACCACAATGTAAAATGAATGATGAGAACTTTCTCTGAAAAAAACAGGTTCAGTCGCAACACGGCTGAGTACATAGAAATGTGTTGCAATTGTGTTGTCACAAACTGAGGCTTGAGAAATGAAACGAATAAACCTTTAATAAAGCAAAAGAGACGTTCATGCTGGCATTCTTGGACAGGGCAATTTAAAAAAGGAAGATAAATCTAATAAACTATTATAATTGTTTGCATATTGTACTCTAGCTGGGCATTCATAAATATTTGGGTGACTCACATGAGACAGATTTAAATGAGAAATGGTCCAATTCAAAGCAACAGAGGTAAAGATGTCCAAACTTTTAGTCCCTAAACTGTGTCAAGAGCAGAAAAAACACTGGATCCTACATTTACCATCATGCAACTCAAGAGCATCTGTTTGTAAACCCACTGCTACCTGTGGACTAAAGCAAGCCCAAGGTGCGATGACCCTGATGACATCATCAGCCACTGATGACATCATCAGGGTTATTCCCTCAGTCTTGAAAAAGCTCTTCCAGAGTCACAGACGTCATTGTGCAACTGTGGCAATGAAACAAATACATGTGAACAATGTTGGAACTGTTACCAGTAATATAACATACACAATTTCCCCCTGGGATCAATAAAGTATTCTGATAATAATTTATAACTCTCTCTCTCTTTGAAGAACCCATACTATATATTTTTAAAGTTTTTAACTCACTCTTATTCCCAATACAGAAACGGACATATTAAAAGTTAAATATTAGAACTGTTAGAACAGAGTAATATCACTTGCTTAAATTTTACCTAGAAAATGTTTAAGTATCATCATATTCATAGAAAAGTATATATGGTGAAAACGTGATAGCTGTGGTAGCAGAAATGTTTTTAAAACACTCACACCTCACCGTTTGAACCATTCAAACCACTTGTTTATTTCTCATGGCTGAATCTGTAATGTCACAGATGACTGAGGACATTGACCTCATATTCTTTGTATTTTCCCCTGGTAATTTGTGTTCTTTCATAAAATTATACACAAAGGTTTTTCAGAAGATTCCCTTTTTTATTTTATTTTATTTTAATCATTTACTGTTTTGAGGAAAATACATTATTCCCACTCTGGAATCATGTTCCTGGTGGTGTCCTCACACAGCAGTACCTCCATGTTTTTAACTAGCATTAAGTGGATAAACAAATAAACAAAACAAAATCCAATTCTAACACTTAAATATATTTTAAGAGGTGTGTCCTGACCAGGGGTATTACAATAATTTTAACATATAAAGTAATACCATTTTTTTACTGTGGAATTCAAAGTTTGTTTATATCACCAAAATTGAATTAAAATTTAATTCTGTGCTATTATAATTATAAGTAGTTTGGCTGAATAATGTGATACCTTGTTTGTCTCTGAATGTGATGGTTGTGATGATGGTGAGACCTTTTGATGAACTTTAAGACAATCATGTTGCTAAAAAAAACCTAAGGCCACCAAAATAAAAGAAAGACTGGGTCGATGAAGCAAACATTCAGAAGGAATGCAGCTATTGTTCATTTCAGAACGTGAAATATGAGTATTTTAATTTGCCTTGGTGACACTTTGAGAACAAGGCTTTTCCTCAGGCTCCTGATATATATTCACCATCCTTCTGTTATATGTCTTTTCTTTACTGCATTCTTTTCTACTTTATGTTGTTCAACACTGTAATCTTGGAGCAAGCTGGACCACAATTTCCTTGGGGATAAATAAAGTCTTATCTTATCTTCTTATCCAGCAGCCACTACCATGTTTTAATGATGCGCATGTTGTTTCCCCACACCTTTTTGTCTTAGTGTTGGAATTGAACACAACTATTGAGATAATGTGATTCTAATCAGCTTGAGTAGATCATTTTTAGGGCCACCATCTTCTCATGTACTAAGAAAAATAGAGATCGTAGCTGAGCTCAAAGTGGCTAATAAATGCACTTTCAATCAGTCTTTTCCAGCAGTTTACACTGAAATCTGTGACACTAACATCTCTGAGTCTGAATTACTCTATAAATATGATTCTATACAATATTATGTGTATCATGTAAGCTGTATCTCACAGAGCTTTTGAAACATGATCAGTTCACTGCATTGTTTTAGCACCGATGCAGCATTATACAGGTTACAGCCATTTAAACTGGATCATCATGTAATAACTTCATCTGTTAACCTGCAATTATCATTATTACTATTGATTATTACTATTCATTATTATTGGTTATTATTATTAGTTATTATTATTAGTTATTATTATTAGTTGTCATGTTATTATAAGCAGAAGTAGTATTAATAATGTTATTGTTGTTATTATTATTATCCACACTACATGACCGTGTTTATTCCAGATTCAGATTTTTGCTTGAAGTGCGGGAAACCCCGTAGTTCTGTCGGCGGCCTGCTGGAGGCGCTGTTGCCTGTGCGGCGCAGCACGGACGCCATCTTGAGGAGACCCCGACCAGCGGCGCTGCTTAGTGACTGACAACAATCTGAGGCGCATCATGACGGGATTACTGGCTCCCAGCGAAGCGGCCTCGCGGCAGTAGTGTGCGTCGGAGGGAGAGGAGCTGGAGGACGACGGTTCACCTCTTCCCCCTGTTCACTGCGTGTTTCCCCCGTTTCCAGAGAGAGGCTGCTGGAGCCTGATGGCCGGCTAGCTGCTCCCTGGACTCCACCGCGGCCTGCTCGGGAGGAGGAAGGGTGGTGACGGCGCAAAATGCTCTACCGCTGACTCCCCGGCAAGACACTCATCCAGCGCCGAGACTCGCCGCGAGTCGGACGACGAGCACGATGCACTTATAGATTTTTAAACGCTCTTAACTCTCCGATTTTTTTTGTTGTGGTTTGCCTGTCGAGGAGGCTCCGAACGACAGCGAGCGCCGCCCTGCGTACCCCGAGTCCCCCCAGCCCCGAGACATGTCATCCAACTGCACCAGCGCAGCGCCTGTCAGCGCCAGCAAAACCAAGACGAAAAAGAAGCATTTTATAGGACAGAAAGTCAAACTTTTCCGTGCGAGCGAGCCCATTCTCAGCGTTTTAATGTGGGGGGTCAACCACACGGTAAGTACTCCCTCAATGTCTCGCTGTAGCGGGCGGGCGGTTTGTTTATGCTGCTGTTTTGATTTAGCTAGCCTGCTAGCTCGTTAGCCGGCTGACCTCATCTGTCAAGCCAGCTCCGATGCTTCCAGTCGCCATGTAATGTGTCTAATTCCCATCGCAGCGAAGCGCTTGCTCACATCGTCTGAAGGCTGACTCAGTGCTGAACCAGCAGCCTCCACTCGGCTGACAGTTGACCGCTGTCGCCGCTGCGAGCTAGCCGCGGTCGGCTCGTGTTGAAACGTGCGCTTTTTGCACGGATTTAAAGTGCATGTGTTCCACTCTCTGCAGCTTTGGCAACGACTGCCCGAAAATCCAAGCTGTGCATGTTCGCGGGCAGCTTGTGCAGTTTCGCCCGATGCTGCGCGACGACACTCTGCAATCATAAATCATGGATGGTGGTGGAAAGTGTTTGGAGCCAAGTCGTGAGCTGCTGTAGTTCGTGCAGGCGTGGGGTGGGGTGGGGTGGGGTGGGGGGGGTGTGACAGGCAGCCGTAGCAGCAGGTCACACTCAGTTGCAGCTCCGCAGACAGCACCCGTACTGTTGTTCTAATGAACCAGCTCCTGTGCACCGTGCATGTAAACCCATTGCTGCGGCTTCATCCATCGCACAATTTCCATATAAATAGAGCCGGAAAATATATCACATTCACTTTTTGCTCCGGCTGCCAATTGCTATGAAAAGCACAGTGATGGGAAGACGCGACACCTATAGATGGATGGAGTGGTTTTGCCTTATATTCAAAACACCCTCCTGCTGTTGTATCATACACACACACACTGGCACAGTTTGGTGGATGAGCGGCTGTGACACACAACTACATTCAG